ATCGGAGAAACTACGTCAGATCATCCGTATCGTAACTCTCGGCGATTATCGCATGAACCCTTTTGCACCCACGACGTAGTTTAAACGTGTTTTATTCGCTCACCCTGGAGCGCGCAATAAACTTGGAGAGTCAGCGAGTCACCCTTTATCACGTTCTGATTATTACTGGTTCGAGCCAGACTTCCTGCTCCGCGTCGGGACGCGGTCGAGGCAAACGGGGTTGGAAATTAACGACACAAACAACCCCTTTACTTTCCATGGGGAGTAAAGAGGAAGAGAGGAAGGGGGAAGAAAGAGAGAGAGAGAGAGAGAGAGAGCGAGAGAGAGAGAGAGAGATTGCTTTGATTCCCCTTGCGGTTCATTAACGGTCCTTTTGTCGGATAACATGTGCTATCCTATATACGTATATAGGAATGTATTAACACCTGATCCGCATGATTCCTAGAAATCAAACACAGCGTATTATCGTGTATTATAAATTGAAATTGTACTCGCGATAACGAATCAAAGATGAATCGTGATACACGAATCAGCGATTCTTTTCACATAAATACACACACGGAAAAATACATGTACTGTATTCAAGTAATAATTACTTGTTTCAAGTATTTCAAAAGTTCATATATCTGCAAATTTATCGTAAGTTCATCACAAGCATCATTCAAAATAAATTCTGAATCCTAAGTAAATTTAATATTTTAATTAATATTATTAAATTAATAAGTTCAATTGGTTTATTTTATGGTTATTTAATGGTTATTACAAAGCTTTTCCGATCCATTTTATAATATTATTCAAAAGGAAATATGTCCTTGTTTTGAATGCATGATAAAGACTTTTTCTATTTGCAATAAGTATCTATATCAGATTATGAGAAAATATTCTTTGTTAAAGTAGATAAATCGTTATACTTAAAAGAAAGAAAGTAAATTGAATAATCATTTTTCTTAGCAATGACATTTTTCTGTGTGCAGGAGAAAAATTCACAACATTAAATATCTTAATCATTATCCTCGCGATTCTGAATTATCTTTCAATTTTTGTAATATTCTATCGAAAATGTTTTATGCAAATTTTTCTGATCCGTTCAAATATGTAGATCTCTACTCTCTAATAATGAATCAATGTATTACTGACATCAGTGCTACACTTATAACTGATGTAATAATTAGCGAATATTTATTGTTTTTCAGTAATAATACACTGATTCACTTTTAGAGGTTATGATTTTCTGCAGATTCAATCCGTAGAAACCATAACTTTTAAAAATGAATCAGTGTATTATCAGGGTTTGCCACAGAAAATAAATTTTAAAATTCCCTGACTTTTCCAGGTTTTCTAGATGAAAATAGAAAATTTTCCATGAGTAATAGAAAATATGTAAATTTTAATATTTAGACTCAAGAATTGTAAGAAAGCTAGTCTATATTATTAAAAACAACGCAGAAAAAGCTTAGTAGCATAATACAATTTTAGGTGCAAATTCAAGCAACAGCAAAAAATAAATTAGTTTTGGAAAAAAAAGAATGCAGTTATGACGAAAAAGAAGGATCAAATATACTGAATAAAATATAAATTTTAATTATTTTATTAAAACGATTTAAAGTACAAATTTTAAACGTATTTGACTATAAACGTCAAAAATATTCCAGACTTTTTTATATTTTCCCTCGACTTTTCCTGGTTTCCATGATCAATTTCAAATTCCTTGACTTTTCCCGTTTTTCCCAGTTTTCCAGAGATCTCTGGCAACCCTAATTATTACTAAAAAAAAAACAGTAAATATTCGCTAATGATTACAGTTATAAGTGTAGCACTGAAGTCAGTAATAATACACCGATTCACTTTTAAAGAATATATTTTTACTAAAGAACACTATTAGAAATAATTACTATAGAGGCGATTGCGTGCTTCTACTTTGATCGGAAAGGCGGTTGCCCGATTAAGGATTAAGAGCACGAAGAGAGGTACCTTCTCGATGTGTCTTCCTTCCTCCGTTTATCCATCCCAGCGATTAACGAGCGCACACCTCCGACACGGATCCCGAGCGCTCGAGTGAGCGCAATCATGTATCGGGCCGATTATCGGTATATCGATGCCTCTATCGCCGCGAATAATATATATATGAATAAAGTGCTACTTCTATTCTCAAAAGACTGTCGTAATACGCGTGGCGGTGGCGATGTCGATATTCAATCACCGGCACGTAATGTACATCGGCCACCAGGTTATCCACGTGTGCGCCGCTTATATATAACAAAGTACGCGAGGGATCATTTTTCACTTTCCGACCGCGCTGAACCATATCGTTCTCGTGACGACTGTCATTCATTTCGTGTAACGAACTCAATGTTCGACTTTCCGATATTCTCGATTGACGGAATGAACTTTCTCATCTTTGGAACTAAACGCGTTCATCGATGGCGTAACATCGATAAACGGAAACTTGTGCCATCGAAGCATTGACACATCTTCGATCAAAACGAATAGTAAAAACAAAATTAATTTGCAATTAGGCATTGAATAATTTTATCTTGAAACGAGAAATTAGATATTTTTCTGTTTGAATTCATTGAAAAAAAATTTTTTAAACAATTTCACGTTAAATGGTTTCACAACCTTTTCTGAGTGTACTTGTCGTCAACACACATTCGTCATTCGTAGATCTGCGTCGAGTAGCATATTTGAGATAAAATTCAACAGCTTTCATTCTAGACAAGCCGAATATTTCGTCAGATATAGAAGTGCACTCTCTTCAAAAGCCGATTAAAAACAGTCGAAATGAATGGAAACCGAAAACTGCAATGAAGATAGAGTTTCACGATGCACATGCAAGGAGCAAATAGTACAAAGATCCAAGCGATAAGCACTGTCATTATCGTTGCACAACTCGATAACACGCGTAATACCATAACGAAAATTAACACCGGTTTCAAAAACTTGCGCCGATATCTTCGTTACATCGAGTTTCACCGCGTGACCGCAAAAATCCCCCGTGAGACGTCGGCTCGTCCGCCCGGAAAATCATCATCGCATCGCTCGTACTGAAATCTCCGTGTCCGTTCTTTTTCGTCGACGGGAGAACGAAAGAGAAGCTCGACAATCACGGCAACAGCACGATATGCACGGTGAATCGCTTTGTAGCGACTATTTCCAGAGACAGGCGTCGTCGCTCATAGGTGAGCGAAGGGTAGACGAGTGGGGTGACGGACGAAAGGAAGTAGAGGGTGTGTATGTGTGACGGAACACGAGATGGGGGATAGAGAAGCGCACGGAGGGGTAGATCGTCGTCGTCGATGTATAGGGTGCAACGAGCGCGGAGAGGGTGCGCGAGGGTAAGTGCATCGGCACGGAAAATGTGTCGGTCGCAGGACGCGTTTGCCGGACGCCGCAACGCGTTGTTCAAATGCTCTACCCTCTTCTACTCTTCTCTCTTTCTCACTCTATCGCTCTTTTTTTTTCATGATTTTTTCCCTTTTTTTCCTTTCTTCGCTACAGCCGATTTGGCGATCGACGAGACGCTCTTCGGTTAACATTCAAATCGCACCGTGAACGAAGAAAATGTGAGAAGAAAATTAATGGGATTAGGAAAACGAGTTTAAAATATATAGTTTAAAATATCTTTAGAAAATAATTATCGATGGAAATTGCTGAATAAGTATGATGTCGATACGCTGTTAATTATCGGAGTAAAAAATGTATAGATCCAAGATCAATGAAAAAAGATCTTTCATTGAGATTAAGACGGTTTTATTCTGAAAGCTTCTGCTATGTGTGTGTGACGAGATGACGTGTATATTCCAGATTATAAATAATGCCCTGCCTTAAATGATGGATTTCAAATCCTCTTAAAGTGTGACATGATATTTGAGGCATAAAAGTGCATTATGTTTAATGCTTGATGAAAAAATAACAGAAACAGAGAGACAGATTTGACGCCTTTACATTTCATGAGTTTTATAGCAGTTTTGCCTGGTTTATACGATAATACGAAAGGTAGGCGCAAGTAATATGCAGTCGTGATAGCAGTTTAAATCTGAAATTTAACTCTGCGAAATATAAATTGTCTATTATTCGATGTAACGAGTGTGTCACGTGAATTACAAAATAGGATGTATACATCCCTGCAGCTATATCGCAATAAATGTTTGCACTCACATCAAAAATATATTCCCGAATATATATGTATAAAAAAAAATATATATATATATATATATATACATATATAATACTCTGATTTATTCAGTTATCAGTCAATAATCGAACGTGAGTATTATCACGTAGCAATTTCATAAATATTGATCGAGAGGAAATCCGATTAATTACAATATATACAATATTTTCCTCTATTTGCGAGAATAAACATCCGGTTTATCAATGCATTTATTTATTTGTGCGAAAATTACTGCAATGGAATATTTCTTTATTCAGAACACAATCATCGTATACCACATAAAAAAATATTCAAAATATACACATTGCAGAAAAGAAAATGAGCTATTCTGTAAAAGACGGCAAATCATTATCTTGCCAATTAACGCAATGTTAATATATTACTGAGAAGATTAAAGTTGTCTGTCATCGATAGGTCATTTTCGCACCGGATGTCAAAAATGATTGCTTACAAAACTGTTGTAAACCAAAAGAGTCTGGATATAGAGTTGAACAAAAGTGTGAGAGGTTTCACATCAATGGTGCGTACTCTCTAAACCTGAATCAGTGGATAATCACTGATCAGTGTCAAGTATGCCACTGGTAATCAGTGAATTAAATGTGAGATCCCTAACCCACCTAATCTTTATTATGTGATCTAACTAATTTTGTTTTAGTGCTTAAATTCGATGAATATGGTATCGAAAGATTGAAATTAATATGCAAATATCAGTATTTTAGTTATTAATGCTCAAACATTCTTCCTTTTTTAATTCACTAATTATCTAGTGCCAACTAGGTAATTAGTGACTATCCACTGATTCAGATTTAGAGAGTAAGTATCGTACTTGAACAGGATATTTCGGTGATCTCGGTGCAGGATACCTCGATGATCTCAATCGCGATTTACCCCTTTCGCGAATCGGTGTTCTTTGCTGTGTGGCGCGCGTCCATTTTTCCAATGGATAAAACCGCGAGAGAAGCAGAACGACGATAACGTGTTTCCTGCGTTACGCGCGACTGATGCGAACGCGAACAGTAATGCATGCCGGCATTTTCTCTTCCCTCCGGCCGGCCTCGCGCTACAAACTGATGCTACACGCGGTTCGAGTAGCCGCTCTCCAACTTGCGCTGACCGATGAAATTAACTCTTATCGCTTTTATTGCCCATTGTTCACGTTGCACGAGCGAGCAAAAGCCGATTTCCTATGGTCGCATTCACACCGACCGTTGCCGATCATACAACTGCCCTCAACAACTTGTTCAACTTATTACCTAGTTGCTAATAATCTGCTTTTTTGATGAACTGAATTAAACCTCTCAATTTTTTATCATTTATTAATTAATAATATTGAATCTCTAATCAGATTATTGTTCTGAGATTTAATCAGTTTTCGTCATTTCTGTGAATCCTTGATGAATTATGTGAATTATTGATGCATCAATTACAATAACACTTGTAAAAATTATCGCACGAGACGATATGATTTGTAAAATATTGCGCCAATTTTTTATTCATTTATTAATTAATAATACTGAATCTCTAGTAAGATTATTGTTCTGAGATTTAATCATTTCTGTGAAGCTTGGTGAATTATTGATGCACCAATTACAATGACACTTGTAAAAAATATCATCGCACGAGACAATATGATTTGTAAAATATTGCGCCAAAGAATCTCACCATTAAAAGGAGGAAACGGTAACAAGGATAGTCTCTAAAAACAGGTTAAGCGTGAATGTCGAGACAAAAGCGACAGTATAACAGTAAAAAAAGTAATAGTAAAAAAAGCGAAACAATATTACTTGCAGAATGAGACAAAAAACGAATTTGTAAGACTCTACAAGTTTGAGAGTGGCACGGTCTTATCTCTTCGTGAAAATAAGTTACCGGCTACAAAATGAGATACCGTTCAAGTTTGACGTATAAAGATGTCGGAAGAAATTTTGCAATTTATATGATAAACCATAATTCATGAAGGAGTCTTGATAAGTCAATCGAGATTAACGGCAGAGTTTGAATTAAAATTACCTAAAACAAATGCGCGCAAATACGCTCTATCGATAATAAATACGACTATCGATAATACACGCTTGTGAATTCATGATCGATAAAACTCCGATCGAAAAGAGCATACTGATGATCGCTCAATATTCTTACAAAAGTATCAATGAGAAAATGTCGAAGTAAACATAAATCGCTCGTTCTTCTTGTCGCTCGTATCTGCTTACGATCGCGATATCTGAAAAACGATCGATGAAAAGCGAGTTGGAATCTGTTGAGCGTATCGAGCAACGAAACGAAGTCTCATTCTTATCAAGATTCTATCGTTATGCATGCACGGGATGCGGATCGAGTAACGATACGCGGATCGTATCGTAAAGTTGAAAGGTACCGATTTGCAATACCTCGGTAATACTATTGGCGCAAAATCCGCTTCTCCGAAACAAATGAGGTGGATCTTCGGAAATCTTTCTCGAAGAAGAAGAAGAAATAAAAATGACTCGGCTTGTCAAGACACATGTGTCCGAAAATCTCTTGGGATACATCTCGTGTACGCTCGCGACTCCCAAAGCGAACCCCACTGTTACATGATGGATGAGATGGCACATAGTCGTGGCTCGCAAACATAAGTGCTACGGTATTTCGCATCGCAAACTAGATCACTACAACTTGGAGGGACAATGTATTATAACTTGACAGGGCTTGTTTTCGTCGACGATTTAGGCCAAGCCTGTTCAATTTGAGCTCCGGAGCCAAGACGCGAAGCCATCGACGCAAAAAAAATCAATATGAGTAAGATTTCGGAAATTATAAAGTGTTTATACGCGTCTGAGCAATGCTTATCAACACTTTACATACAGTCCATGAAATCTTATTCACATTGATTTTTTTTACATCGATAATTTTGCGAATACGATTTACGCGAATACACATCACCCTTCCTCGGAAATTAATTAATGCAATAATAACCACGCGAGCGCGATTTATATTTAATGGAAATATTTACTCTCGAAACAAATAACAACGCGTCTCTCATGTAGGTCATTACAGTAAGAAGAATCAAGACTTTTTGTGAAGATGCACTGCAAGAGTAGCAATTCGACTCGCTGTACCCGATACGGTTAGTGTTTACATTAATAATAGAAAGATTTTTCAAGATAGAAATCGGATATTTAACAATCTGTTATAGGTTATCTGCAATGTTATACCTCCATTGTAATCATCGTCTCGGAGAACTTAGTGGTTCTCCGGAGAATTTAGGTTGTGTCTCAGGTTTCGCTTTTGTAAAGACGTTCCACTGTGTAATAAGTTAAAATGTGAGGTCGTCACTTTGTAACACACATACACACGCGCGCGCACACACACACACACACACACACACACACACACACACACACACACACACACCCTCTCTCTCGTACGACGTTAACTTCAATTACAGGGCTCGCGACATAGCACTTCCAATGCCATAATCAGTGTTACGGTTGTTGAAGCTATCGAATTCCGTTTGACATGTATATGACTCCAGTTTTGGCCGACTAATACGAGACAGAGTAATACCCACAATGATCTAATGTGATGTATGAGATCAATGAGAGAGAGAGACATCAATTTGAGACAACACTTTACACACATTCATATTACGAAATAATTTCACCTAAATGGCGATAAATCCTTACGTTAATTATTGTAAGTAAACGTTAGTTTACTCATTATTGAAAATTTTATTAATTATTAAAGAGGAAGAATTTTCAGAGTAGCTGTAGTCTTTCCTTGTTTAATTATAATTGTTAACGCCATTATAATTACAAACAGAAAAAATTTGCTATGAACGCTAATCCTATATTATGACGACAAATTTTATTTGTAAATATAAGGGTTGCAAAATTATTTGCAGGTATAATAAATCCTTTTGTCTGTACTCGCTATAAAACATTATTCGCAATAAATGCAAAATATTTGTCGAATATGCAAATGTGTTTGCTATAAATAGCAAACAAATTTGACAATTAAATTTTGTAATCTCTTTTGTGTTTATAGCAAATTTTTTTCTCTCTGTGATATTCAAACAATCTATAAACCGCGATAAACAATCATATATGATTGGAATTATCAAAATAGATTGACAATAAATATGCTGAAATATTTTTTAGATGTTGATAGTACAAAAATGTGGTTTATGTTGGGAAAACATTTTTTACGAAAAAGGGAATAATGAATATTTCTTCAATATTTTCTGTATAAATCGATTTTTAGATTTAATTTGAAAATATTCGTTTCGTTTGTTATTTTAACTTTATCTTTCTCCACAGAGCGCTTTGTGCGATGCCGAGCACATTCTCGTCTTCCAATAAATATATTCTATATATATCTATATATATATTTTAGCGTGAACGCAAAAATCCAGTAGCTTTATGACGGGAATGCGCGGATGACGTATAGTTATTGTATCCGTTACAAAAGCAGAGGTTTACAGTAAAATAAACCTGCGGATGTCTCCACCCATTTATTCGATAAATAGTTTCGTATGTTCATCAAAGTTCGTTATAACGTCGCGAACATTGTCGGTGAATATGCGCGGTGGCTCGTGTTCCCCGACGATTTTTTATATTGCTTCTTTTTTATCGTCAATCAACAAACTCGCGAATGTCTTTCAAATATATTCGTAAATAAATCCGCATTTGAGTTGTCCCTTTTGGAAAAAAAATCACAGTTAAAATCATGGCCGGTAGCCAAACATGACGGCCGTCGGATATAAATTTCAACGATTGAGTGGCTTGAGGGGTCAGTTTCATGATTCGGTCCACGATTCTTATTCTTATATCGGTTTCTATGGAATAAAATGTGGGAAAACCAGAGGCGACCTGAAAAATGGTCGTCCTACAATCTGAAACGCCCTTCTGGAAAATGATGACGGAATAGCGACGCGTACAGATAAGGTCGGCAACCGTGTTAGCAATCTCACCCCTTGGAAACACAACGCCCGGAAGGAGCAGTAAGGTTGAAGCCCTTTCATCTCGAAGAAAGAATCAGGAAGTACAGTCTCTATGGCGCAAACCTCCTTCTCTCTCTCCTCCTAAGTACAGTCACATTTAGGAAAAAAAAAAGTACGCGTAATTAACGCGTCAACTGTAGCACGACAGTTTCTGTTTTGCATAGGAGAAAAAAATATTCGCGCGCGGCAATGATATTTGCGAGAAATGCATCGGGAAGGAAAAATCACAAGAAATTTGCCAAGAATGTACTGACAAAAAAAAACGCGAATAAAAAAGAAGAGGTCTGTTTTCTGTAGCCAGGTAACTGAATCAGAGTAATACACTTTTGGAACTTAAAGTAAAATAAATATATATATGTTAGGTATTTGGCGAAAACAAGAAAGAAAATTCTAATGCAGGAATAAAAAACAGACCTTGTATATTTGGAGAATTTAGTAAAATGGAGATTCTGCAGTATCAAAACATTATATCTCGGTTTTACAAGGATTAAGTGTCGAATTTTGCTGAGATCTCTCTATCATGGGAAGTATCTCTGAACAAACGTTACGACCAACATAACGCAATTTTCAAGCGAGAAAAATATTTGCCATTCCGAAAACGCAAATAAATCTAAGAATACGCGATTTAGCGAAACTTTACTCCCAGCGAAGTGTCATCGATTCTGTGAATTTGCAAACAGCCAAGTTCGACCGTTGAAGGAAACTGTTTATCTTCCGCGAAGTTGCAAGTCTTTCACAAACAACGCGGAATGTCACGATTTACATCACAATTTCCGCTAACTGTTTACCGCAACTATATGGGCACGTGGTCGCGTGTTTTTTTTTTTAATGTCGGACTGTTTCATTAGAGAATATGACATTTTCATATTTAAATAAAGTATACCTTTATAAAGTAAACCCATAAACGCGTGATATGTTCTTGCTATTCGTACGAGCGTCAATTTTCTAGCTCAGGAAAGTACAGTTGCTCGATCTTTTTATAACTTTTTATTTTCTTATCTTAAAAATCCTACATAAAATATATTTTACAAATAATTAGATAAATAATCTGTTGTTATAAACAATAATAAT